AGGGCTTTGTCAAATAAAAGAGAAAACAGATGGTCTACACGGACTTTGTTGAGCTTGTCACAAAATGCCCTGTGAAGAAAAGTCAAGTGAGTCAAAAATTATCACAATCTAGTACATGTTAAACATGAGTGAGCGACATGTACCTGTCAAGAGCTAAATTTGTCTTGTATAACTAGATCCATATTACAAGTATAGGGAAGATAACAACAAATCAGCAGATTTATACACATGTATGCTCATCTCGTTCTTTACTAGATAAAAGAATGATTGTGATGAACACCAAAAATTATGCTTCCAGGCCACAAAAAGCATCTCCTTAGCCTATGGGGAGCATTCAGTTGTCACTTAAAAAGGGGAAGTATGTTATGTATACTATTAAAAATTACATTTACAATGTACACAGAGCACAATTACACCAGACAATCAAACTTTACCAAAAAAGTAACAGATCATTGTATACATTACCTTTGCATTGATCCAAATGTAAGAGAGAGTATCTGTGTAACATCATTAACAACCTTCTGCAGTTGAACAAGAGGTACTCTGACAAAAAAAGAGATGGAATTAATAAAATTATTTGAATCAGAAAACATGGAAAATACCTTGGGTCCACCCTTGGTCAAGAACCAACATGTACACAAGACTATAAATAAATGCAATCTGCCTTACTCTTAAAAAATGTGTACAACAATTATTCATGTTTTTCAATGTAGACTAAAAGCATTCCCACCCTTTCAGCAGGCCCAAATCGAAGAAAAAAATGAGTGAAGAAAGAAATGTTAGTGCAGAACTCAGGGAGTGAGGCACCCAAAAAGNGAGGACCCTGAGTAACTGTCATTTTGCGCCATCTTGCCAGATTTATCTCTCCCAGGAATAATTCCAAGTAGAGTCTCCAAGTCTTTTTTAAGTCCAGAATGGACTTTACGAGGGGAAACAATTAGTTGGACTTCTCTCTTGAAAAATCTACCAACCACTTTGCTTCCATCTAAGAGACCATCTACAGGCCCACGAGTTACAGCATTTGAGTTTTTAAGGTTCCTCTCATTGTTGCCCTTGTCGTCTAATCTGTCTCGTTTCAATCCTGGAATGATTTTCTTCACCGAGCTTAAACTCCGAAGCGTTGATTTGCTCTTGTCTTTCTCTCTATCTCCTTGTGTCTCGGTCTCTGAAACGTTCAATCGTTCCAGTGCGTCCAACATGTCGCTTGGAGAAGGTTCGTTGAACGGTTCGATGTAAAACACATCACCTTTCTCTTTGATATGACTTGCCCACGGCGGTTCCTCGTATCTGAAATATGCGAATGACCGTAAGGGAAGTGAACAAGCGATTATTATGTGAACCCCAAATCTACATAAATTTCACGCTAATGCCATGAAACAAGTTAAGAGATCGTTATCGAGAGTTATAAACGCCTTTTTGTTTGCACACTTGAAATTTTGGCTGTTCATTTCGTTGCTAAAAAACGAAAAAGTGCAACTGGACAAAGTAACAGATTCCTTCACACCGTTAAATCGTAAAATTTTAGTATATGGCTACCAAATGTATTCCTGGTCCGATATATTTTGAAACCAGACGATATTGATGATGGGTTTTTAAATAATGAAACAAATAATCAACAGCGCGTGGACAAATTATACCAAAAATAGAAATCGACACCAAGATTTTGGAGGCCGTTCCGAAGCGATCGTGATAGTAAACATAACATTGGACTTGGCCGGGAAATAGCCAAATTTAAAGATATTCTTCTCATGAAAACATCATTCATTATGAAACTCTAACAAGGCAGGTGATAAAGACATTAAATACTTTAACACATTATAATTAACGCCAGAGGCAGAGGGCAAACTCACGGCATGGCATAATAGTTTACAAATGCGAGACCAAATATTTCTGTAATTCGCTCTTACAGTGTGCCCGACCAGTTGTCGTCGTTTCGTAGACGAACGTCTTGTCTCGAGCAATGTTCACATTCTTCCTCCGAAGATTCATCTTCGTATCTGCCGTAATCATGGTGACGGCCAACGTACATATTTCATCCACAAGCTCCAAATTCCTTCATGTTGTCTCGTTCCATAATAACAAATCGTCCGCCATATTTCAAACGAAAACGACCGACCGCCTGCCGGGACACACCGACAAGTATTCCGCTGTCCGAACGTTTAATCGGAAAATTAGAACAGTGTTCGGTTACATGGAATAGAGTATAGTTTCACTTCCTATGGACAACGAATATTGACTTGCTGTTATACGATAATTGCCTTTGCACGTAGAAACTGATGGAAATTTTTTTGAATGAGAAAAGGAAATTACGCCCTCGTAGTCAAACAAAGAGTACAACTGGCGCTAAACCCGTCATTTTGATAGTAAATCCACACAACCTTTTTGTTCCGGAAATGCCATTGTTCACGCAACCGGAAGTGGTTGAACCGTTGTGAACTTCGAGGACCGAATATCTCTTTTTTGTAGTAGAAAGAGAAGAAATCGAGTCTATTGTCATTCCATATTTATTCATTTCGTTTGCTCGACCACTAAAGAGCCCGTTGAGAGAAAAACAGGTTACCGAAAAACGTTTTGTGCCAGTTACGAGATAACGTAGTTTTTAAAAAATCTTGTACCAGGTTTTTCACGTGCTCGAGATGTGTTAGGTCCTATGCATATGTTAACATCTAAGTCTCACCTGTGAAAATCCTCGTGTTGTCAAAATATGACTTTTATCGGAAAAAAAATTCACTTAACGCGGTAGAGGTTAATTGAAGACATTGATTTCGAGGTGTTGTCTTTTGTGTTAGTTGTCTTTGTCCACCTCAAAAACAACACACCCGTGACAATATGTCAGAGAAAACACAATACCACGCCTGATCTGGTGAAAGAGGGCTCAATTGCGGAATGAAGAACATTCAACTACAAAACAATTCTTGTTTTAAAAGCAAACAACCCGCTATTGAGGAGTTTGTCAAACTTACGACGTTTGGAGCTCTACTGTAAATAATGTTATGCAACTTTTTTAGTCACGTCGCATGTTTCATCCAAATTGGGAGGGTTAGAGGATGTGGATGGCTGGTTTGTTAATTTTATTCCAAAATCGTGGCTTGAAACTAAACTTTCTTTGTGCATTAGTTCAGAGAATCTGGTTTTACATCGCGCCAACATCCAGCTAATGCTTTTGTCTCAATTCTCCGTATCACTTGAGAAGTTCCGTGTTAATTACGGCAGGTAGTTAAAGCGATGCAAGAGGCGAAAGGACACGTTACCTGACTCGTGTTGTTAGTCCCTGTTTGGATCTCTTTCGTTTTCTTCTCCGTTTCTGCGGTGGCCATCTCGACAGGGTGGACGGGGAGGATCTCAATGGTTCAGTATGCATCTACTCGGCAGGAATAGTCTGCATCAAATATAAAAGAAATATCCAGTCAACAGAGAATAAGAACCCTCCCTCACCTCTGTCTTAGTCCCTCCTCTTTCACGCTCTCTTTGCGCAATTCAATCGCTGCAACCAGAGAGCAAATACCTACCACGAAATTTTGGCTCAAACGTTCCCTGCAACTTGCAACCCTCAAAGCTCTCATACTCGTTCTGATCAGAAATCTATCGCTCTCTTAAGACTTGACCTCTAAAACATGGTATGTATCTAAGCAAAGCCTGAAGAGACCTTCGATCACTGTCACAGATTTTATCAAATCTGTTTTCTTTCCTCTTCACGATTTCTTTGAGTATAATGGCTTTTTTTCAATGGCTACTTGATTCCGTCACCAACAAGGATTTCATATTGTTCAGTCTCATTCTGCGTTAATTCATTTATTCTAGCAATTACGCAGCTCGTGCAATCTTGAGCAGACATCGTGTTTCATGTCTTAACATTTGAAAAGTTTCTGTGGGATCAAGATTCAAAGCAAAATGGAAACGTTCGAGGGTTCCGTTCACTCAATGCACACGGATGAACATGAAACCTCCAAACGTCTTGTGTCTACACTGGCAATCGGTTACTTCGAGGTCGAACTATGATTTAAAGCCGTCCAATCTACAGTGGTTTCCTGTAAGCAATCACAGAATATGGGGTAATTTTCGTGCACGTCAAAATAATTCTAAGATATACGAAAGAAAAAGACATTGCATAGTTCATAGAATGCCCGCCTCTTGCGCAAACCTGTAAGAGGGGCCTGTGGAGTTGAAATAGCAACCGGGATTCGCCTTTTGTAGGAAATTGAACTTTGGGCCACCAGGACTGAGAGTCACCAATCAAAACACAAAAAATTTGAAACGGGTCTAGAATTAAGGGAAAATATAGGTTGGAAGTGGGATTCCCACCCTAAGTAGCTTGCGTAACAACTGGTTTCTTTGGGTGCTCGATGAGAGTGAAGGCGGCGTAGTTGTAAAAACGATAGGCCTGGCTTCGAAAGAGGGTGAAGAGGGGAAACCACTTCCACTTCCATCCCTGTGTTCTGTCAAAAGCCTCTGGTGGCCTTGTTTCATGGCCCCCTCTGCACGACGCTACAAAGTACAAAGCGCTCTCGTGTAAACCCGCTAACCAAGCTTTCAGTGGACCCTTAGATACGAAATACACCAATTCGCGATCGAGTTTATCGTATTTCATTAAACACCACGGGTAGGCAAGGAGCCTCTGTAATCTTTAGAAGACGTTTCTGGTATTATTCATGAATAGACAAGCATTTCATCGACGGACGGAACTAGCGTACAGCATGGGAGCGGGGGATGTGATATTTCCTTTGAATTCTATCACGCTTACCAAGAGATTGCAACTAACTTCCTTAGCCTAGAAAACCCACCGCTGCGTGGAGGTTGTTGTGGTTTCTTTTTTCTAGTTTGGAAGCGAAAAATAAAAATATAGGGCTATGATGACACCCACGATCCATTTTCAGCATTCATCCCGTAAAACTCAAATATTTCGATTCATCGGATTTTCTTTCTGTTGATGTCCGGTTTTGAAAAACTACTAAAGAATCAATCTATTAATGATGCAAGCTCAGCGGTGAGAAAATGATCCTCTTCTTCGTTAGTTTAAAGTCTGGAGCTTTTTAAATGTCTTCTCTATCTGTCCTTGCGGTTTACTGCTACCTGTTTAATCTCAGCTTGTGAAGGGTGGCCTTCAACATTTCACGCGCGAATTACGCACAAGTGGATAGCCCGCGAAATATGTTGACGCAGGTCATTCTTAATGGTACTCTTCTGCTTGCACAGGTCTCTCTTCTCGAGTTTTCCTCGCGCTCGGCTGAAAAAAACCTAAAGAAAAAATGGCGCAAGTGTAGTTTTCTAGTTGTGCACCCTATGAAGATCCTTCTAACGACTTCTTAATAAGCAATTTACACCATTACTGCGCGAAGAGGATTTCCGTTCTCGAATTACATTCCGCTGGCATGCGAGGAATTTGCCTCTGAGCTTATCGGAGTCAAAACTGGACTATTGACTTCAAGAATAATTCGAAACGAGATCATCACGCGACCGATAGAAGATAAAATCTCCCTTATTATGGACGGTATGGCTGTACGTATTTTCTGGCCGTAAAACCGACACCGTTTCCCAAGGACATCGTCAGAATTAAGAATACTTTAAAAACGAAAGGTCTTTGTTTCCTTTCGACACAAAATTACAGCTGTTATCATTAAGACGATTTGGTTGAAATTTGAATGATTAAATGTTAGAATTAAGAAATTGAGGAGTCGTTTTCTGTCGTGGTACGATTTGGCAAGTTTGAAAGAACAGCCGCTTGGCGGAAAAAGCGGAAAACAAATGGCAACGATTATTTAAGGGAGATCTGACTTCTCCAGTATCTCCCGTTGATACAAACGTTCAAACATATGTAATTGTCTACAGCTATGAAACAGTTGTTAGGTTGATTGTCATCACGTATAGGGTTTTGAAAAGCGACAAATAACTATAACTGGCCTTAGGACCTCACAGACAATCGCCAACACAAAATACCTCATACACCAACTTCCCTCCAGTATACACCCTGGAACTCTTTTGTCGCTAGTATGTAATCGGTCGACTGTTGGATGGCTCCATATACTAAGCTTCGATTGAAGTCTTAAGCTTCAAGTGCCGCACTGAAGATAACACACGATTTACCATGCCTGTATTTTAACAAGGTGAAGAATCGAACCCCCCACTTGAAGCTGTCATTTTCGTCGCTCGATCGATAAACGTGTTCGCAAGGTACAGTGTAAACATTGGGTAACTGTAGACTTCTTAAGATAACACAGCACACGTCATTAATTTATCATTTCCGGAGGGAAACTAGGTATTAAATGCTTTTAATTTTGAAGGGCCGGCATTAGAGAACAATTCAGGTTTTGGAACGTGCAGGTGGAGAGGACGAATATTTCGCCAAGATTTGTTTCCGTTTAGCCTTAAGATCATTTATCAAGTAGCATTTAGCTGGTTTTGAAGAGACTCAGATCATCGCAATGGCGAGAGTTTTCTTTAGAATAATTTAGGATACAGAAGCCGGCTTTTCAAGCGCCTTTAACGTATATTGTGTGTAGTGTGCGCTGTAAGGTACTCATAACTCTTAGCTGAGGCCTGTTCGATTGTGGTAACCAAAGACGGTCGCCTATTTTACGTGTTTATACCTGTTCTAAAGCTTTTGTAACATAGATGTTATGGGAGGGTCAAGATTACGTGAGAGTGAATAACGAGTTATTCCTTCTAATCGGAAAAGATTCCAGTGAAATAACAGAAAGTAAATCGTCATGCTTTTTTAGGGCGTTAGTCCGTTCCTTTGCAGTAAAAGAGTGATTTCGTAGGTTACTCAGAAAAAATGAAGTTTATCCTCATCGGCGATAAGTCAGCATCGTTGATAACTCAGCGTTGCCCTTTTACAGATACCGTAATTTTAAATAGTCTCCACTGCAGTTGCATGTGATATCGAATGAGCCATCACATAAATGACCGTTGGTATTGCCCCAGTCTGCGTCTGACAAGAGACCTTTATCACTACCGAAAATCTGCCATAATAAAATTTCAATAAATGAACTCAAGCTCTGGCGACAATAAAAGCTTTTAAGAAGCATTCAATTCGAGATAAGAAGAGAGCAAAGAATCAGGCATGTTTTGTTTCAAAGCCAGCTTCACACAGTACCTAGAAACTTGACTAAAAGTGAACAAAAGCTTGCAATCTACAGTTCTTCTTCAACGAAGACTCGTTTACAGTGATAGTGTGACCCACGTTGTAAAAATGACAAAACTATGTATATTTTGTGACGATGTAATCTCCAGGGTATCGCTCTCCTCGCCATAATCATTTAATTTTTAGACATAACTCTTCCATTCTTTGTATTCAGTTTCATGCCTTGTCGGAAGTTCTTACGAAGCACACGTACCTACGGTTCGCCTATCCAGATTTTTCATATTTGTTTAGAAATTCGAAAGAGACTTTGACATTCAAAATGACATTTAGGACATTAATAATAGTCAAACTTTAAAAATACCATTCTTAACTCTTACACCCTAATGCTAATATAAATCAGGTCTCCATACTGATCTCTACAGATTTTGTGTGTTACCGACAAAAACAACTATTCTATCAGACAGAAGTTTTGTTAGTTGATGACCCTAACCCATGTTTGATTTAGCGGTGGTATTGTCAGGAGAAATTACAAGCTAGTCACTCATAGGGGCTGAAATTATCCAACGTCTCTCTTACTGCAGGTATTAAAGAGTTGATCTACGGTATCACATTTTCCCAACACTGCTTTCAGGGTTACTGTCAATAACATAAAAAAAAAACCCTCTTTATTCCTGAGCTTGCAAAGTATTGTAAAGTAATTTCCTGTGTCCATTTGCTGGCATTATTCAAATTGCGGTCTCGAATGACGCTAATGGAGTGAAGCATGCCCCCTTAAAAGTTCCTTTGTTATAAAAATAGATGGCCAGGGCCAGTTTTGAAGGTTAATTAGCTACGGTCAGTCTAGAGATACCGTTTGTAATCAGGCAACACACGATAAACCCACCATCCACAAACAAAGAATGATAACTATGTCTGTGATATTTAGAATAAACTGTGCTGCCTCATTGCTTTTAAGTCTCTGTCAAGACCTACCAGGGTAACTTTAAGACTCGCTGCGATAAACCCACCATCTGCAATTTAACCTTTAACCGGCCTTAAAAAATTTAGGCCAAACAAAGAATAATAACTATGTCTGTGATATTTAGAATAAACTGTGCTGCCTCATTGCTTTTAAGTCTCTGTCAAGACCTACCAGGGTAACTTTAAGACTCGCTGCGATAAACCCAACATCTGCAATTTAACCTTTAACCGGCCTTTAAAAATTTAGGCCAAACAAGGAATAATAACTATGTCTGTGATATTTAGAATAAACTGTGCTGCCTCGCCGCTTTCAAGTCTCTGTCAAGACCTACCAGGGA